TCAGAGAGGCTACCAGATACAAGGACGGTGAATACATCAAGGTATGACGCAATGGACTAGAGCTGGCTGTTTTCCATTCACATCACTAATTTGGCTTGCATAGGATCTGTCTTACCTGAACCGTGATCTCTCCAAGGTCATCCTTCTTGACACCAAGGAGGAGCACGCTCGCCTGCAGCCCGAGAACGCCATCGTCCTTGACAAGTGGCGCGGCGACCCCAAGGACAAGACCCTGGTCGCCTTGATCCCTTTCCTGGAATACCTCGCCGGTATGGGCGTTGAGGACGTGCGTCCCGTTCTCAAGTCCTTCGAGGGCCAGCCTATCCCCGTCGAATTCGCCAAGCGTGAGAAGGCCATGCGCGAGCGCTTCGAGCAGGAACTCGCCGAGGAGCAGAAGCGCCGCCCCCGGAGCGGTCTGGGCGGCTTCGCCTCGGCTCTGGGCCTGAAGTCCAACCGGACTCTGGACGGCGAGCAGAGCCCCGCGGAGGGCCTGGCCCAGGGTAAGATGCTCTGGGACCAGATCCGCGAGCGCGGCCAGAAGAACTACGAGATGATCGAGAAGGAGATCCGCGAAAACGGCGAGAAGTGGCTGGCCGAGATGGCCGCCGAGGAGGAGAAGGCTCGTCAGGAACAGATGGCCATGATGAAGGGCTCCCTGACCGGCATGTTCGGTGCTGGTGGTGACAAGAAGCAGTAAGCAAGAGTGAAAACGATCGTCACTTGCTTGTGTTCTTGATTGCAAGAGCACTCTTTATGAGAGCGGGTGCTTGGGTTCTATATTACGAGCGCCACAAACGAACTTCCTCTCTCTGTCTCTCTCTCTCCTCTTTTTTTTTATTTCGTGCCATGTCTTCCTTTTCTTTTTATAATCTACGTATACCTGGGGTACACCGTTGTTACTGTTGTTCTCGGGGCCGGGGTTTTCGTGTTTTTTCTCGCTTTCTCTCCTTAGAAGCAGGGGTTTCTGTCCCGCACCCATCATTTGATCACGGGTTGGTTGTAAAATAGCATACTTTTTTCTGTCCGCTGTTGTTGTCCATCTAGGAGGGAGGGTTATGTATAAATTGGAAATTAAATCTAATCATATGCATGGTTTCTACATTACGGTGTGTGGAGGGTAATTGTTATTGTATGGCAATCTAAGGGGTGGACTGAATTGAAGTATATTTCTCGGCAACCACCACCAGCACGACCATGTGTCTGCTCAACAGCCAGATTTCGGCAATTACAGAGCGAGCGCTGCAGAGGAGATTTCATGCTGTAAAAGGTATGTAGTATTCTTCTCCTCTCTAAGCAGAAAAAAAAAGACAAACAAAAAAAAAAAAGAAAAAAAAAGCAGCACAGCAGCAGCAGTAGCAAACATGCACTGCCTCGATGGGTATATTCTAAAAACAAAAAAACAGAAAGCCTCCCCCTCTCCCCTCCTTCCACCCCATCCCAACCTCCAAATTCACATTCACATTCACATTCCCCCTTCACCCTCACTTTAGACTTTTTTGTTGAAAAGACAGAGGTAAAGAAAAAGATCAAGTAGCCGAAAGTGGTCGAGGATGGTATCCATACTCTCGTTGAAAAGGAGCATGATCTTATAGAGACAAGGGGTAAGAAAAAACAGAATCAATGAGAAATGGGATGGAAGGGGGGGGGGGTTATATATTGTGGTTATGTTGCTTGTTAAGATATTCTTTTCGTTTTGGTGGAAGCCGGCCTTTTACGATAGGTTGACATCCTGGAAGACGGACACATCCCAGATGCCCGTCATATCGAAGGGAAAGCCGTCCATGGTGCCAAATGTCCCGGAGATGGACATCATGTCGTCGACGATGTCGTTGTTGGTCTGCGTCTCGGGCAGCGAGATGGCCGCCGGGTTGACGAGACGGCTTGTGCCCGGGTGGTCGGACGCGCCGCCCGCACCGCCGCCGCCCACTATGCCGCCGCCCAGGCCGATAACCTGGCTGAACGTCGTGTGGTCCGGGTTGTGGGCGCCGCCGCCGCCGCCGGCATTGCTGCCGGGGGGCGCCGCCAGGCGGCTAAGGAGCCGTTCGCAGTGGTCCAGGCACATGTCGGCGACGTCCCAGTCCTCGTCCTCGCGGACGCGGCGGAGGATGGCGCGGAAGGTCTCGACGTTCGTGAGGCAGGACCGCGCGACTTCGCTGTCCGTGGTTTCGAGGGCGCAGCGGACGAGGAGCGTCGCCGTCGTGGTGAGGTGGAATGCGCTGTCTGTTCGGTTGGGGTTTCGGTTAGTTTTTGATACTGCCAAAATGTTTCTAAGGGAAACACAAACGAGATGGGAGAGAGGTGCTTACATGGAAGCCAGAATTCTTGGAAATTCTCCTTACGAAGGGAGGAGATGAACTGTACTATCTCCTCCGCCGATTTCCGGCATTCAGTCTGGAAATACCGGCGGGCTTCCGGGTTTTCGGTCTCCGAGTTGTTGACCTCCTGTGGATTTGTTAACTTGGCTGGCAGGAGGCGTCTTGTAACAGGTGCGTCGCTCACGTTCAATTCCACCCGGCTCACCAGCATCTTAACGGCCAGGAACGCTAGTTGAAGACTGCTTGTTCCGGAGATGCGTCCCTCAGAGGTATGTGGAGGGTTCCTCAGCCAGTCAGGCAGCGAGTCCTCCCAGACGTCAAGGTCCGTCCGGATTTGTCTTACTTTCTTGGTGGTTTCGCGCGCGAATCGGTGCTGAAGACCGTAGACAAGGGGCAGTAACTCGCCCAGAATCTCCGTCAATTGGCACAGCGCGATATGGCAGTGCGCGGCTCGGACGCGTTCAGGGGTGCGAGATGCTGGTGGTATAAGTACGTCGATTGTCGGAAGAGGAACGTCGTACTGATTCTTCGCGATCTGTGGCGGTACTCCGTGACCGAAGCTCCCCCTGAGACCATGTCAGTAATCCTTTCTTGTTGCGTAGATACGATACTTACCATCGATCGTGGATGACCACACCCCACCATAGGCGCATGCGATGATTCTTTTCAGCCGGGGACAGTTTCCAATGACTAGGGTCGCGATTGAGTCCAAGACAGTGTGCGAGGGAGACCATACGGCCGCTACTGATCGCATTTCCAGTCATGGAGAAGATCGGGCGACCGGTCAAATCAATAAGAGCGGCGCTTATAGTAGACAGACCAGGGGCGGAGAATTCCTCGTGTAGAGCGGCCACTGTCATGTTGACCGCGTAACGGACATCTGGTTTCGGATGACACGCCAGCTTGGGAGTGTGCTTCCAATACACCAGAGACATCGAATACACCTGACACAAAAGAGAGGCTGGCGGGTCACCGGGAGTCTCCGAGATAAAAGCCTCCCAGAAGCTTTCTCCATCGAAGATGGGGAACGCAGCGTTGAACCTGTCAATGAACCTATTTTGGGTGATTAGTAGGCCATTCCGATCCGATTCGATCCCAGACGGAGACATACAGTCTAACTAGGTCGTGCTTGAAAGGTCCTAAGATCTGCTCCAGGATTTCTTTCTGATTCTCTCCTGGCGGTATACCAACGCGCATTCCCTGTCTTCGTCTCGAAACAGTCGTATACAAAATCGGTTTCCTTGGATCGCTCGAGTAGACATTATACGTATTGTTCTTCGGTTCTACGGACTTGCTCGTCCGCTCGGTGGGCATATACTTTTCAATCACTTGGGCGTCGTCAGCCACCACAGGCCCAACAATGAGGACAGACTCATTGTGAGGATCATCGAATCTGGACTCGCTGCCTCGATGGCCACCGACTGAGTCTGTCTGGGGAACACTGGATGCCCGTGGGCGGCTGCCACTGGCCGGGGAGCCGACTTCTGAGCTGCGCTTGCGCTTCTGGCCGACGCTTGACACTTGCGCCGGATCTGCGGACCAGCGTTTGGTGTCATGGCCGTCTGAGAGTGGAGCATCCTGGCTGGAATCCTCCTGGTAATGGCAATCGGCGCCCTGCACGCGACACAGCAGACACGACTGGCCGGGTATATCCACAGTGCACCGAGACTTGCGCTTCCTGCACAGATCACATGCCCTAACCTTATGTGACCTGTATGGCCTGGCGCCGGCGTTGAATCCCGGAGAGGCGAGCTTCTGGGTGGAGCTACTCGGAGCTGTCGTCGACGACATGATGAGCCTTCAGCAAACGGGCGACCTGCTCGGGAATTCTTGTGAAGATCATCAACCAATCCTAAGCCAATTGAGGACACTGCGATTCATGCAATCGTGCTAGAGGGCGAGACTGGACCGTCGACAGTGCGAAGCGTGCGTATGGTGGAGGATCGGATCTAGGCCAGCCACCGATGATCGGGGACAAGCGCTGTACCCGGCTAAATGACTGAGAGAGTAGGAGAGGAAAGCATTGATCCGGGGTAAGCTAGTCGCGAAGCTGCGCCAAGTACTGCATGATCACTCAGCATACAAAGATCAAACAGACATTGCGATGAGCGACGAGTTCACTTTTGGAAGGGGGAGATTCTGTCCATCCAGCGCGGGATGATTATTCCCTTGCGTTTTCTCCAAGTCCGATAAAATCTTCGTTCTTATCGGCTGCTGTGAAGTTGTGGGGGGGGAAAGGGCTGAGTCAGCGGATCAGACCAACCACGTGCTCCTAAATCGGAGTCCGTATTCATGTCGGGTGGGCTAGGCCCAGATGGGACTGGACAGGGTCCCCGCGCCCGCCTCAGGCCTATTTCAGGCACCCGTTTCACTTCCAGTTCCAGGTCTCCCCGCCTGGCACGCGCAACGGACTCCTCCAGCGATTCCCTCACTTACTTCTCATCCACTCTCCGAGCACTGCGTCCAACCCAGCTTATTGATTTGCTAGTCCATGCAGCCAGCGCATGGACTTGCTGTCTCTTCTTATGCCTCTTTAGCTTAGCTTAGCCCTGTTTGACTTTTGGTCCACTGAAACCGGACCAGACGATCACCGTTGCATTGGTCTACATTGGTCTACGTTTGGAGAGACACAGCCACCGGGGTCGCTAGTTGGCGCTTCCCGTGCTTTCCACTCACCAGAGTCACCACCCACCCCAACGCGCCAAATCCTGCAGTCGAGATCCTGCCAACTTCCCCCTATATCCGTTTTCCGCCATGATGCTGGATGGGTGCAATTGATCCTGTAATTGTGTCTGCATTTGTGTCTAGCAAATGTAGACACCCATGGGCTGGACATCGTTGATCATGGATGAGGATGTCCTATTACCTGCGGCTGAGCGTCCCGATGAGCCCCATCCAGACGATGAGCAGCAACCACCGACAACATGTTTGGTCAAGCTGCAATGCGATATGATAAAGCCGGAGAAAGAGCTCGCAGGCGAGCATCGCTCCTTACCCTTTGCCCGTTTACCTCGCACAGTCATTGAACAGTAAGTACTGTCTTCACCCTCTAGCTGGCCGGCTGGGAGGCGCTTATGTTCGCTTCTCCATATGGCTCACCCGCACTGCGCGGTAACTTAACCTATATGCGGTTCGTTCTTAACGGGTTACACAGTATCCTTTTCGTTGCGGATGCAAACACATTCGCCTCACTTGCCTTACTGAATCGCAAATGGAGGCGGATTTCCGACTCGACTCTGCTATACTCTCATCATTTAGCCCAATGCCCATCTTTCTCCCTGACCCAGAAAGCCATCGCGGAGCCATGTCAACAGCCATGCGACCTGTCACGCCTCAAGCAAGTGTTCTACACTCAAACCAGACGGAATGCTTTTGAAACCTTCTTGCGACCCCGCAAGACTCTAATCAAGCTGATATCGACCTCGATGAGCTCGTCAACGGCTTTTCCGCAGGGCGAAGCTTTCCGGTTCTCTTTTTCCCCCAACGGCCAACTAATTCTGTGCATCAGTTCCTCAAGAATTGTTGTCCTTGATGTCGCCTCAAACCCTGCTTCAGTGAAGCATGAACTCAAAACCTGGAGGCGTCCACTGCATGCCGCAATCATTGACGACGGATCTCTGCTTGCCGTGGTTTCTTCTAGCCATCGCGTCAATGTTTACAGTCTTTGTAATGAGGAAGCAAGACTTGTCCAAGACCTAACCTTGAACGATGTTCCTCGGACGCTAGCACTATCTCCTACGGGAGGCGTGCTTGCTATTGCGTACGATGATCGCATTGAGGTACATGCAACCGGAGAGGGGGTATTGGCCACCGAAAGGCGAGCCGTGCGCTGCTCTGGTGTTGACTCTGTCTCTTTCTCTTCTGATGGAGCCATGCTTCTTGGCACTTCTGCCGATCCTCAAAATAGTGGCTTGGTCACGATAACAGTACCGTTCTATGCTGAATCGGAGCCTGAACTCTCCCTGAGAGACGTCCATAGACGGATGTGGACTACTCAAATCCTTTTTCCGGATGTTACCACGGGTTTCAGTCGCGCATGTATGCTCCCACTCCACTCCGAGGGCGAAGGTAGCTGGATCTTGGGTTTTGATGAACAAATCAATTCACTCCGGGCGTTTGGGGTCAATAATACTAGCTCAGGTACAACGTACTTTGTGACGCCCATGTTCGATGATGGAGCCAGAGAATCTGCCCCCACCATGCTACCTACTGTTGATGATATGGGGGAGCTTGTTGCGGCTGGCTTTGAGGAATCTGGTCTGTGGGTGTACGGCATACCCGATCGTCTGGATATCGCTCCTGTAGCGACTAGCACACGACCACCAGCTGGGTCCGATGTGGAGCTGAACCACTGGGAACATGAAGGCGCGCTATCTGGTGAAGATTGCTCATCTCGACTGCAGCGGTCGATCACCAAACCGAAGGTACTCATTAAGGGTCATAAAATCAGTGACATGCCGGGCATGACTGCAGCCCACTGGGTGGAATGTACGGGTTTCGCTACAGAAAATCGCCGCTTGGTGGCCGTCGCACCAGGTGGCATTAGGCCCCCAACCATTGGCGAAGAAGATGTGCCGGTGGATGGTGGACGAGTCCTTCTGCTGGACTTTGCACGCTCAGCGAGCGATGGCAATTATACCGAGATTAGCATTGAGATCGGTGACGCGGAACCAAAAATGCTTTATGAGCCAGACTCGAGTCTGGACACCGAGGTAGAACTAGAAAGAAGGAGGACTCGCATACACCGTGCAAGCGCTACTTCGCCGAGAGCAAGAGCTTTCGCCAGGGAGTCATATCCGTCGGCCCATTCGGTGTCTCACGCTTCTCGGCCGAACATTCGCCGCAACAGCTCCTTCTTCTCCAGTTCTTCGAATGGAGATGCGTATCATATCCCCGAGTCCCCGTATGACAATGGGCAACCGCGGTCTAGAGATACACTGCGTCGCGCTGCGACTGCTGCGGCTAACACGAGGGAACGTTATCACCCTCCACATCGCGATGCGCAGCTCCCCATCCACCCGAGACCAGCCTCGCAGAGCTTCCAGGTACCTCATGAAAGTGACGCTGACAACTGGGTACCGCCTCCTCCACCCTATACGCGCGTGCCAGATGCACCTCTTCCTGATCATTTGCGAAGGACTCTGCTACCCTCCAGGACGGAGCCGATCACCCGGGTTGGCGAACCTCTGGCCGAAGTCCAGCGCTCGCAAACTAGCCGTCTAGAAAACATGGTCGAAGAATCGTCCTCTCGGGTGTCACTACACAGATTGAACAGCATCGCGAGCTCGAGGCTTGCTTCTCGCCTAATGCGAAACAGCACCAGAGAACCTGTATCTTCTGAACGAGCGCGCAGGCAAAGCACATTCATGCGCAGGAGAAGAAGTTCAGCCACCGGCTCTCCGCAAACTCTCGAGGACGCGAATGGACTCGCACCGCTGGCCACTCCGTCTCCAGAAACGGTCGAGCAGCATATACACTTCCAACTGGAGAGCATAACCGACTATCCAGCGCAGCCTGACCGATCCGTGCCGCTCCTCTCCACCGACCCTTCTCTACCGCCATCAAATTCCCAGGCCAACTACCCCCATCAGTCGCCCGAGCGGCCTACCATGCATGCCCGGATCGACGTTCCGGGAACCATTCCCGCCACGCAGGAACTCGGCAACACCCGCCAGTACTCCTTCTCCTCTCCCAACCTCCAAGTCCCATCGACCCTGCAGTACAATGCTCCAGAGGTTCTCCAAAACAGTCATGTGCGCTCTGGCTATCCGCACCAGTCAGGCGACCGCCGCCCGCAACCCCAGGAGCTTCCTCTACCGATGACAGGGGGCAGCATTCAACCCCTTCACCACCGGGCCTCGACGGATCCCACGCTGTCCGCCAGCTCCCAAGCGGCCGCCCATGACCTGTGGCGGAGACGCATAGAGGAGTGGAATGAACAAACTATTTACGAGAGGAGCAAACGACGAAGCAAGTGTATTGTGATGTAGCAGGGCTGGGTTTTCTTTTTCTTTTTCCATCGGATTTTGTTTCGATTTTGTTTTTCTTCTGGGTTGCATCATTGGTTTTTGAAGATATGGAGTGTATATTGATAGGAACAGGAACATATTTGGGATTGTAGAGCGATGGCGTCATTTTCTTTGCTTTAGAGTCTGGGACTATCTATATGCTACAGGTAAGAAGTTGGCTTCTTGTATAGTCAGACGCACCAGGAGGGCTGGGCTCGACTCAGTCTCGTGTGATTGGTATCTAAATGTCTCATTATTTCAGCATCTGCGAAACATGTCTAAATGTTGACTGGCTAAATTTAAGATGTTAAAAGCGACCAATTGGATACTGATCAGTATCTTCGTGCACAAATTTCAGAGCAGACGAAAGCAATGGGATCAACACCACACCAAGCATCTGTTTTAACTGCCTCCGCCTCCTCCACCACAACCTCCACCTCCGCCTCCGCCTCCACAACCTCCACCACCGCCGCCGCAACCAGCCCCTGCACCACCACCACAGCCCCCAACACCACCGCACCCGCCCCCAGCACAGCCCCCGGAGCAATTCCCCCCCATCCCTCCACAGCTGCCCGCCGCAACCCCACCTCCACACGTCCCCGCCGCACAGTTCCCATGCACTCCTTCCACGAAACTCATACAGCTCGGATTCGCCACGTACGCATCCGCATGCACCCCGGGGTCACACGTATACGGCGCATAGAAGGGCACAAAGACTGGATAGCCCCACAACAGAGGGTAGTAGCCATAGACGGGGTCCACTGCCGCGCCCCCGGATTTGTCCTTGTTGGCGGCCGCCTTCTCATCCTTGGACTTGCGCTTCTCGGCCCGGCGGCGCGCCTTCTCGTAGTCGTGGCGGAGTTTCAGGAACTTGACTTCGCGGGGATCGAGATCGCGAGTGTTGTTGTTATTGTTGTTGCTAGGGGTGGTCTGCGGACGGACGGCGTTGTGGGCGGAGATGTGCGGGTTCTTGTCGGGATCGGAGGAGATGTCGTCGCGGTCGTGGAGTTTGGCCGCCGCCTGGCGGGCGCGGGAGGTGGAGGAGAAGAACGGGATGGCGATGGGGGAGTCGGCGGCGACGCGGACGGCCTCGCAGTACCAGCAGGTGCATTCGCTGTAGATCTCGCCGTCGGTGAGCTTCTTGTACGCCTTGCTGGCCCATTCGAAGCCGTCGGAGAGCTTGGTCTCGTCGACTTTGTCGTCGTGGTCGATGAGGATGGCGAGGTTGTTACTGCCGCCGTCCTCGCGCGTGCGGTGGGTGGAGAAGGCAAAGTAGCGGGCGGGCGCGAGCTGGTGGGTGTGCCAGGCGAGGTCAACATCGAGGGTCGGGACGGCCATGCGCCGCGGGTTCTGGGACATGATCCGGAAGAAGACGTGGTACTTCTTGATCAGGCGGTCCATGGTGGCCGTGAGGGTCGGCGAGTGCAGCCAGTCGATGCAATCCATCTTCTGAATGAAGATGCCCTGGCGGATGACGGCCCCGACGAGATCGAGCGCCAAGGGCGAGCTGTTGTCCCAATAGTGCGACATCATGCGGCGGTACGCGACCTTTTCCTCCGGGTGGAGAGCGAGTTGCATGCTGCCGGGGTTGGCCTTGTACATGACGTCCTTCTGCTTCATTTTCGCAGCGAGGTAATCGTTGACCGTCTTCATGGTCAGGTTCTTGCCTCGATTCCAGCGGGGGTAGGCATGATTGAGGACGTCGGGGCCAACAACCTCTAGAAAGCGGTTGGGGAAATTGAACTGTTGTCTTCGTCGTCTGGGATCGCTGACCGGCTCCGGGACTCCCCGAAGGTTGTAATAGGTGCCTGGCATCGGGTGGTCTTTGTGCAATAGTAAGTTGATGTCTGCGCAAAATTTGGCAATCTTCAGACTTTCGTGATTGATGTTATAGGAGCAGTGAGGGCATGAATGGCGAAAATCCTTGTCTGCGAACCCATGCCAGCGCTCAAATGCGTCATCTAGCGTAAGAAGCATGCCCCCGTCTGTCCAAGGGACAAAGGTATGCTTTCCGCAGCAGGGGCAGTTCAACGACTTCTCAGACGTATCCACAAGATTGTCCCAAGGGGAATTTGTCTTGCGAAGAAATGTCTCCTTTGCCTTCGGCCCTGCATCATAGTCGAGGGTCACATTGTCAATGCAAGCGTTAACAGCCTCCCAAGGCAGGCCACTGGCCCAGAAGCTCATCTTCCCGTGCCGTATGCAGTCCTCGAGAAAAGCACGTGGGTTCAGCATATGCGCATGCCATACCATCAGCACGTCTAGAATGATTAGTGATCGGTCCCAGGCATGCACCGCAACTCAACTTACCGAGAGGAGGCATTTCGTCTTGAGACCATTTCATTGGCTCGTCAGAAGTCGTGATCTTCTCGTAGCTGGTATGCTTGAGGGTACTGAGTTTGGGCTGTGCGCGAGAAGCAGGAGCGCACAACGTCCACCAGGCTGCATATCGGTCCACTGCTCGAGTGGTATAAACCGCCCACCGCTTCTCCTTTACTCGAGCCCACGCTTCATTGGCCTCCTTGGAGTCTGGATTGAATAGCTCTGGGTCAGGATCTTGGATACCGAAGATTCCGCGAGTGCTGGCTACGCTGTCACGCAAATCGGCCAGTGCTGCGAGCAGCTTGAGGTGAGCGGCACACTGGTCAGATGTGACTGTTGTGTATTGAGATGGACCAGCGTCCCGAGAAAGGTCTAAGGGAGGTAATGCCAACTGCGACTGGTCGATCTGATTGTATGCAGGTGGTTGATCTCCCACAGTCCTGGTTTCTTTAGCCATCTTGGCAGACATAGATTATATTGGACTTGGCTGCATTCCACGTATGAGATATAGAAATGTGAATGACAGGATCCAGAACTAATGCCGTAGCGGAACAATCTTCCTTTATGTTGTCATCTGTAAGTCAGTGTTGCTCGATGGACGTCTGACATAATTGGAATGGAGACAGAATGATCGGCTAGCAATGCCACCGGGGCAATGACGCGGGGCAACCACCGATTCCCCAACAAGGAAGAACAGTACTCTTTGTCTGTAGTCTGACAGGTACGGGGAGAGACCGAACTGTGGGTGAGCACTGAGCAGACCCTGAACTGCTTGGTGTGACTGGGTACGTTCTAAGACAGTGGCAGAGGCCGGCGTCGGGCACCTCGTTAGAGCAGAAGGGTCAACCCCGTCTCTAGACGAACCTCGGGGATGACAGAGGGCAGTGCCGCAGTGCAAGGCTTGATTGGCGCTAGGATACCCTAGGTTCGCCTTTCTGGCAGTGGTTCAAGTAAGTGGAACATCGAGGCGAAGCGTAAGCCTCACAATACGAAGTGCAGTCGGATGTGATGGATGCTTCATTTCTGGGATCAGAATACGACAGACTGTGGTTGACCTCGACTGAAAGACAATCCAGACAAAACGCAGGTGGCAGTGTCTATCAATGCGTATCGTTGGGGATGGGAGCGACCTCAGATGATCCGCTAGTAAGCAGAGCCAATGGACATTTGTCGGGCGACCGCCGGTTCTAGCATGGTGGTAGGTGGTAGGTGGTAGGAAGGAGTCTGTGCGTGGGGCAGCCTGTGGTCTGTGGTATGGTCTGTGACGGGGGACTAGACACCTATACACCCCGTGGCGTTCAGGAAGTTGATGCCAGAGACTGTGTAATGTGATTTCAATTGTATGTACACCGTGTAGGAAGTACAGTTGAGATGGTGTAGTGTAGTACTTGAGTAGTAGTTGAGTAGTTAGCACGTACTCGATCATGATCCATGCGGTGAGAAGCACAGACTGACTGCCCAGTGTTTGGGTTGTGGGGCTGTGGACGGTTGATGGGTCTGGGCTGACTTATCCGTGACTAATCACTGGTTCAATGCACATGTCACGTGCCACCAGCCAACCGCCGACTGCACGTGAGAGAGCGAGATCGGACAGCTTCTCCTCGCAGGACCCCCGCCGCCGAGTGTGATTCCTCCACCACTTAATTTCAGGGTCTGCAAACACGGTGTAAGCCGGTGGGTAAAAGTTTTTTTGACTCATCGCTAATTCGTTCTCCCTGTTTGCTATATTGGCACGTGGTCTTTATTATTGTCCAGTGCATCTGTGATTTTTGACCTGTTATTTTTTTTAGCCTTTTTTTTCTCCGCCACTCCCTCTTATACTGTCCCAGCGTTGATCAGCCTTGCACGCAACCAGTCTGGATTCCCTCGAAGGATCGCCCAGCGAGATCGGAGGCAAGGGTGTGCAGGGCAACAATCTGGACCCAAGCGCAAGGAAGAATGCTTCGGCTGCCTCCAGCCCCGTAATGGGAGGTGCCGACCATCCATCTGTCTCACCTGCTGTCGGGTCCGATGGCGGGGGACCTGTCAGGAAACGTACTGTTGCTGCCGCGGGCTTGGACAGCTCGCCCGCCGCCAGCATCGACGAGGTGGAAGACCTCGACGCCCGTGATGAGAAGAAGCGACAGCCTGTAAAGCGGGCTTGCAATGAGTGTCGCCAGCAGAAGGTATGCCGCGTGCCCTGTCTCGTCCAACGGGGCTTCCGCTAACGTTGATTGTTATCCTTGTAGCTCCGATGCGATGTTATCCAAGATCCGTGGAGCGACTGCTCCCGATGCCGTCGCCTGAAACTGGATTGCAAGATCGAATCCAATTTCAAACGTGTCGGGAAGCGCAGTCGCAACGCCGAGATGGAGCGTGAGATCATCGAGCTCCGGAAGCAGATCGCGACTGTGCAGGCAACTGGGAGCACGCCACAGCAGACCCCGACATCCTTGCCCACGGTGCAAACTCCGAAACAAGAGACTCCCAGCCAGGTGGGCTCGGCTGGTGTCTACCACACGCCGTCAGCCATGTCCACTGACCAGTACATGGGTTCGCACGAAGCTGTCGCATCCCTGCTGGACTTGCGATCGGGCTTCGATGGCAGTGGCTACATGCGAAATGGCAGTCATCATTTCAAAAGGATTGAGGATGTGGCTGTGGTTCCGGAGAGAGTGACAGAGCTGTTCAACCTGTAAGTGTACGCCGTCGGCCCTTGTTGCGGCACGTCTAACGAGACTAGTTTTTTCACATTCTATCACCCGTTTCTTCCGTTCCTCAGTCGGGAGCAGTCGCCAGATGAATACTATTCTGCATCGCCTCTACTTTTCTGGACAATCATCAGTGTTGGCGCCCGACGGTACCAATCGGACACCCATCTCCTCAACTCTTTGGCTGGCCCGGTGACACGGCTGGTATGGAGTACGCTGGCGGACATCCCACAGAGCTACCATGTAGTGAAGGCATTGTGCTTGCTATGCACCTGGCCGTTTCCTACAAGCAGCACCTCCACGGATCCTACATTCATGCTGTGCGGAATGATGGTGCAGGTTGCCATGCAGCTTGGTCTGCATCGGCCGTCACACACACAGGATTTCAGCAAGTTTCGGGTGGAACTCATCGAAGAAGAGCTTCGAGATAAGGTCCGGACCTGGGCGGTTTGCAATATAGTCGCGCAAAGGTATGCTGAAGAAACATCAACGGGGGTCGAATGAACCGTCAAGCTAATTGATCTCGCACAGAGTTGCTACTGGCTACGGTCAACCGCCATCAACCCTATATGATTGGACACTGTCTTCGAACGAGTCCATGGATCCCAACTTCAAGTTGCCGGATGACATGAAACCCCGACTGGAGATCGAAAAGTTCTGCGACAAGATCACCAGGTCACTTTATAAAAATCGCCGGGACCCTGTCGGGCTTTGCAGTGATAAGGAGAGATCAGCGTTGATCTCGTTTCTTTCTCGGGACTTCGACGAGTTGGAAAGCCAACTTAAGCCGCAAAGAGACTGTAAGGCCCTAAATCTGGTCGCATGGAAGACCTTCTAACCTATGCAGGTATCACTGATCTGTTCCTGCGTGCATCGAATCTCCATCTCCACCTGTCGGCTTTCTTCGACGACACTACGGCCAAAAATTACCGAGAACGCCTTCTCTCGCTCTACGTTGCCGCCACTACTTTCCTGGAGGCAGCAATGACGTTGGAGACTGAAGTTGGGCCCGTGCTCTCCTACACCCCCTATTACGTGTATCAGATGATGGTTGCGGGAGGTTGCACGCTGTTGAAACTTTGCAAAAGCTTCTTTGCGGCCCATATTGACATGGATTATGCCAAGAACCTCTTCAACCGGACCATTTGGGCCATTCGGGGGGTATCGGTGTCCAGCAACGATCTCCCCGAGCGGCTGGCGGAAGTTCTGGCGCAGATGTGGCGACTGGGAAATGCGCCGACGCCCAAGTTCGGGCCTGACGGGAGTGAGATCGACGACTCCCTAATGCTGAAGGTACGATGCCGGATGAGCATGTCTCTCCTGTTCGACTCTGTGTGGCGGTGGCGAGAAGATGCGCGGACCAAGGGGCGTAATATCGAAGGTATGTTTCACGGACTCGACGTCGAGTGACTCAGAGCTGACCCGCCTCGCAGCGTGCCTTAAAAACCCGACCAACCCAGATTCCAACGCCGAATCGTCGGCCTCGTCGACCGGACCGACGCGCACCTCGACGGCGACGCCCGGGGTGGGTGGTGCGGATCCCAGTCTGGCGCCTGCGCCTTTGCTCCCGCAGACGGGCATCAGCGTGCCGCCCAGCGGGGCAGTTGGGGCATTGCCCAGCGGGTTCATCGAGCCGAACTATGAAGTTTTCGATCCACTGAACTGGCTTCTGGATGGATTGGTCGACCTGCCATATTCCTATTCCACGATATCCGGGATGGAGTCGCAAGGGATGGCCTAGTGTATGGGTGTTGGTGCTACAATTTTATGACCTTTTCCTTTTCATGTGTACCATAATTAGCGGGATGACGATGGCAAGGTTGTCCACTGAGACAGGGATCGTTGTTGCTGCTCATTGAATCAAGAGATACCTGTTTTTACAACGATGAACGCATTCATCGGTGCTTGATTTGCCGGGCAATAGGGGTTGCTGTATATATTATCATCGGACGATATGCCAGTTTCCAGTATGATTTAGAATCTGAATTCCCTCGGACGCCCTTGTCTCTGGACCAGCTTACCTGCATAGTATAAGATCACGTGTCTACGTCGCAACCTTTTAACGTAGGCCATCGATAACCAACCACACCCCCGCTTCCACCAAGTCCTTAACATATCTCCCCGGGGCAGCAAGTTTGTACATCTCCTCCCATACCAACTCCTCCACTCCCTAAGAAACACCGAAACCCACCCCCCCTCGAAAAAGAACCCATCATGTCCCCATCCCCTTCCAAACCAATTCCCCAACCCAAGCCCAGATTCCAAACCACCCGCCCCGCTCCCTCCGCGCTCCTCATCCCCCAGAAACGACCGCTCTTCCCCCCAAAGCAGAACCCCCCCATAAACCCAAACACAACCATCCGTCCCCCTTCCCTCCTTCTGGCGGCATCCTCAAACCCCGACCCAACCCCCGAGCCCAGAGAGCAGGCCAGCGGCATCCGGCCCCGCGACACGGAATTCAACTTCGCGGCGGCGCCGCAGCCGTTCCTGGATCCAGGGTGTTGGGAGCGGATCAGGGGGGTTGACGCTGCGAGAGCGGGGGTGGAGGGACAGCGGGGAGGGGAGGGGTTGGGCGGGCATGCTGGGATGGGGCTGGGGGTGGAGGAGAGCGAGGAGTTGCAACGGCGGCGGAGGGTCAGGGAGGCGGAGTTTGGGGGGTTGGCTGTTAGGGGGCGGTTGCGGTGATTTTCGTCGGTTATCTTGATCTGGAGTTGGGGGTTTAACTGGGGATGTGTTTGTATGTTGGTTTTATGTGGGTTGGGTTCGGAGGTTCGGTTGTCTATTTGCGGTGAGCTGGGATGTGAGATGAGGTGGTTATTTCGGGACTTTGGGTTGAAGGGGATGGGAGTGGGCGAGGATACTTGGTTGTTTCTCAAGTTGTATGTATGACTGACTGTCTTGAGTTGGGCTGGCTTGTACTTAGAGGGAGGGTTCAGGAACTACTGCACTTGGGGTTATTCTTTGTGGTCATTGGTAATTGCTAATCTTGTGGTATCTTGGCTTGGATATTGGAAACAGAATGGAATAGAGGTGAGACGAACTGGGCTTGCTTCAGCATCAAGAACAAAAATAAACAGGCAAAAACATCATAAATGGTATCATCAATCATCAAAATCATCAATCGTAAATATGAGACAAAAAAACATAAGCAAATCATAAGCAAAGCATAAGCATGTGCTGTATATCCAATCCTCTAAGCAAAAAGGCATCAGTCGTCGATCATGATTAACGGTAGTCCAGCCCTGACTATGGCCTCGGGCTCGTGCTGGAATTGACCAGCACCGCATCCCCAATGCTCTGCTTCAGCTTCTCGCGCTTGGCCTCGCGTCGACGTTCGCCGTGCTGCTGCCACACCCGGCGCATGCGTTTGCGGAGGTTGCGTACCTTGCCGGCTCGCAGTCGCAACCGCCACCACGACAGGGACTGGAACCGGTGGTGATGAAGCGAAGTCTGCGAGTACAGGGCTTCCGGCGTGAACACTTGGCTGCTGCCGACCAGGGTGCCGCGGTTGGCAGCATGGTGGTGGCCGCCCAGCCGTCGGCGGGTCTCCGGGTTGCGCGCGATGGGCGGCCCCTCCAGCACCGTCCGCTGCTGCGGCATCCCCAGCGAGTTTTTGATCACCGTGTCGGGCTCGTGGTGGCGGTCTTCGACAGGGCTCCCGTTGGGGGAGGACGTGTCGGTCTCCGAGTCGTCCCAGAAGCGACGCGGTCGCCAGAAGGGCTGCAGGCGCCCGTCGATCTCGGGGTTGTCCGCCTTGCGGTTCTTCACGGACGTCAGTGAGAAAGACCCGAGAGCAGAATTGTATGAATCAGACCGAGGACGTACCATCCACGGACGCCGGATAGACCCGAACCGACGGGCCGGACGTCCATTCGCATCGGCTTCACTCACGGCGGCTCCCAGTTGGCGATTGGCGTCTTGCACGGGCGACGGGGGCGAGACGTGGCAGACCGGTGGCTTGGGCGGTTGGCGGGGATTCTTCAATGGTGACTCCACCTCGAACTGCGTCGATGGGACCGGCGTTTGGGGCTTGTTCTGGGATGCTATATCAGGAATCTGTTCACGCGTGGTAGGTTGTGATTGTGGCTCTACCAGCAATAATGACTCGTTGTTATGCGGGAAAATGGCGATGGTCCTCGCCTCACTGATTTCGATCACTCCGGGAGATGAAGACGGGATGGAGACTTGAGTATAGGGCATGGACGGCGGCCGGAGATGCGACATGTCTTCGACGCCGATGATGATGGATTGCGTTTTCGCGGCTTCTGGAACATCGTGCGCAGGCCGGCCGTGGGACGACCCCTCGGGTTGGGACAGAGGAAGTGGCGCTGGCTTCTTTCGCGTCTCTTGCTCCATTGCCATCGTGTGATTTCGTAGGCTCTCAGAGGTGAGAGATGTGGTCCGTGAATTATTGCGACTGGTTGGTGCGGACAGCGACGAATTACGCTGTGGGATGACTGGTCGACCATCGCTTCGGCCTCGAGATTGCGCCCGCTTGTCCGCGTTGGTGCTCGCATCGGACAGCGTCCGCTCCTTGCGGCGCGGAGGTTCCAGCGAGCCTGGGCGGCTGCCCGAGGCGACCGGAGCTCGTCGACTCGAACGTCGGGAGCGACTTTGGGAGGTATTCCGGCTGGTCGAAGTCGAAGACTTAAGGGACGACCGCCGCTCAGGGATCACCACCACCGGTACTATTTCCACATTCGGTGGGAGAAAGCTCATTGCCGAAATCCCTGAAATAGACATCTCCGACGCAACACTTCGACGATCATGTTCTGTAATGCGCGCGCTCTTATGAACCAGGCGATGCTGCGAGTCCGGATTAGAGACCAGTGAGGTGTGCTCCGATTTCGTCAAGGGAGAGCTGACTGAGCGGAGAGAGCTCCTCTTCTCAGTGTGACGAAGTGAACGTTGAGTTGATCGCGGCGAGTCAATAATCATAACCTCAACGGTGGACGTCGTGGACACATTGGAGAATCTTCGCGAGGCGTCAGGCTCGGCTGTAGTAGGCTCCGTCTGGGGCCAGCCGATTTGCTCGCGAAACTGCTCGATTGACAATCCACCTACAGGCTCGTGCGAGTCAGCCCCCTGCCTTCGTTCGCTTTTCGCGCGGACGGGAAGCACGTCCGTGCTGTCTGCATCCGACTCGACCATGTAAATTGGGTGTTCCGCCGTGTCTGAGTTGCGGTCGGTACGGCTAGATGCAGATCCCTGATGACGGGGAGCAGGTGCTGGGGGATTTAGTGTCGCATCTTGCCGACTCTCTGCGATAGACATCTCTGGTGTCGCGGAACGCATCCGATCAGAAGTATGGTTTGGTACCGGTGTTGTTTCTCCGCTTCGCGTGTCGCTGTGATCGGACGAATCGCTCTGTCTGGTTAGAAACGAGGAGGACCGGGCTGACCGAGATGGGGTTTCAGTTCCAGCATCTGAGATGATTTCCAGCGCAGTGCGAAAGGAATCCGCCCGAGACGAGGAGAAGGACTGGGCGAGTTGCTTGAGGGCCGGACGCTGAGCCGAGGCAGCGACTTGAGGAGGGGTAGTTTCGGGTGTGGGAGGATGCGATGGCCTCGGGGTTATCGCATCGCTCACCGAAAGTAAAGAAGGTGTTGTTGCGATATGCGCCCCGTGGATGTTCGAGTCTCCAGTTGAGGCGACCGCGGGAGGCGTTAAGGGACGAACGGGAGCTCGTGGCAGAGAGGCTGTCCCTGACGGGAGGCCATTGTGGCCCACCGGTTTTATTGTTTGGGCGACGGATGGAGAGTTCAAGGGAACATTTGGCCGGCGACGTAGAGACTTGTGGGCCCTCAACTGGGGCGGATCCAAGTGTTCTGGTGAGGCGACAGAGGTGCCAGCATTCGCCAGGCTGGGCATTGTGAGGAGGCCCAACGGTCCGGCAGATTGGCCCAAGTGACAAGCAGGCAATGGTCAGGTTTGAATGGAGTTTTGTTCTGGTGGTTTCTTTTTTTGTTTCTATCTTTTTTTTTTTTAATAAAAAGAAGGGGGATTCAAAATCAACTTGCTGCAGGTCGCATATCGTATTAATGGTGAGGGGGAGGGAGGTGATGCTGTGTCTCGGTTGGGTCTGCTGGAGGACAACTACAATCTTGTAAACAGAAGAGAACAAAAGAAGAAAGCCGAAGAGAGTCCACGGTGAAGAACTCCGGTCCCTTTGTTCTCCTCTTCCACCCCGGTGAATGCTAACCAGCAAGGGAGATCTGGTGCAGCGTAAGGGTGAGTGTGTGGTGAATGTGTAGTGTAAGTATTGTGTGTGTGTGTGTGTGTGTGTGTGTGTGTGTGTGTGTGTGTGTGAGACTGTCTTCCAATGCGCGTCTTACAAAGTCCAACACCCACTCTAGGCCAGCCCATATACACAGCCAGGTAAATCTGGTCCCAGCTGGCTCTACAAATAGAGTATGTAGATAAGAACGGACAGCAGGCAAGGCACGACCCGCCCAAGGCGATCTTGTTGGCACGAAAAGACCCGAGGAAAGCGAGTGAGAAGGAGGCAAAATGAGCGAGGTTGCAGGGACATTCCACGTTGCGGATCCGACGCGCGGGCAGGCGGAGAATGACAGTCACACCCAGAGGATCTACATGACTGAACTTTAGGGATACATCTGTATGGCTAGGTGTTCGGGGAGAGGGGAGGAGTGACAGGGGAGAGTAAATAGAAGGTATTATAAAAGGGCAGACACACAAAAGTGTGCCAGTTGGGAAGATGATCGTGGAAGAGAAAGAGGAAGAAGAGGAAGAAAGAGGAGAAGTTGGGGGAATTCGTCCACCAACCAAGCCTGCAGCATCACGGCAATTTCCTGCACCACCAACTCGACTACTTACTATTCCTACTTCCTGCTTCTATGCATATGCTGAGTACTAATTGTAAAAACAGTTGGCTGTCAGAATAGTTATCACCCTCCCCTCCCCTCCCCACGATTGGTCTTTATTGTTGTTTACCGAGCATACTCTTACTTTTCCCACGGACCAGGCGCTGTGTCTGGCATTGCATCATCGATGACATCCTCTCACGGCCATCGCTCGGGAGTGGCGCTGCGCAACCCATGGTCAATCCTCACCAACCTCGCTTCAACCGAAGGGAAGCTTAAATGGTCGCTGATATTGATGGCCGGGATTTGACCCACGACTCTCGATAGAGACAAGATAGACACACGGAGGAAAGACGGGGGAACTCTTAAGTACTCGGGTGAGTCTCATATCTCCAGCCGCCATGCGTTATCACCACCATGACATCCATCGAGTACCATCTCTTGTTTCCGGGATCTCTCTCGGGTGTGAATGGTGGATCAGATCAAGATCTAGACAACGACTGGGGCTCTGGGTTCCCAGATATAGTGAGGAACACTCGTAGTTTAACCTAGGATTGCGGAGATGCGAAGCTATGACATCTTATTTCTGTTGGGACCACACAATCAAAGAAATGAACCGTCGCGACGATCGGAAAGGAAAAATGACGAGAGATGACGCTGGGTTCCGTCACTTGCCCGTTAGCGGAGGAGGGAGAGGGAGGATGAATGAGGAGGAAGACGAAAGATCCGAGGAAAGACGAAGCGAGCGACAGGACATTCGGACAGAACAACCAGCCTTAGGAAATCCGCCCTGGGCTGCTGACTCAGCCACCGTGTTGCCCCCCCTCGACGTCATCTTGTTTGTGGTTTTCGGTCAGGCGGTAATTTTGGTCAGGAAGTTGGGGATCAATGGGGGAATTGGGTATAGATGGATGTGTATCACCAAGGTATGACCACGGTATTGATGGTTGCTGATGATGACGCTGTCCGCTGTTTCCCTCCTATCTATCTCTCTGTCTCTTGTCACTGTCAGTTTATGCTGCTGCTGCTGCTGCTGCTGCTGCTGCTCCTCTCAGTGATGATGTACGTATTGGCTTGCTCTTTTTTTTTTCTGCTTCAGCTCATCAGCTGCTACCTTCTTTGCCTCACCAAGAAAAAGAAGCCATGGCGTTGTGCTTACGGAGCACTGGATCGAATTAGACTTTATTACATCCTCATCTTTATCGCATTGTCTCCTTTCCCTCATCTTCTTCTTCTGCTTCCTCTTCCTGCTACTCCGTATTCTGTCTCTCCCACAACAACAATCAAAAAGACATTATTGAAACTGTATCGGCCCATTCCCCACTATCTCCCTTCGTCCTTCTCCTCTCTCAGGCTGCAAGACGTTTAGAATTCCGCTTTCAGGTACTGAAACTGCTTTGGACGGCCTTCTTCTCTCGCCTTCTGTGTTGCCTTCCATCAGCCCAGCCTTAAATTAAAATTATCTCATACCTCTTTTGGTCTTTCCCCTACTATTTTCACTAGCCCCCCCCCCCCCCCCATCATCATCACCACCACCTCTACCTCCTCCACCTCCTGCACCACCACCACCGTCATCTGCGCACACCTTTTTCTTCTTCTGCACGGCGCATTTAATCACCTGGTAAATCTCCCCCTCCCCACTTGCATTTTTTCCCCTTCAATCTCTGTTTTTCTTTTCCTTTTTTCAATCCCATCTCCAACCGACTTGGACCTGTCATCCCCTCCTGCTATCCTCTGTGTGCATCTCATGTCTTCTTGACTCCGACCCATTTCCCTATCGTCATCATTATCATCACCACCACCACCACCACTTGCTCATCTGTCCCTCTTCTCCCTTTCACAATCACACAACTAACATACATTACTCAGACCTTGTTGAACACAAATACAACAGGTCGTAATCAGAGGACAAATTGCTTATGACAGGGAAACCCTAGACAGAAAAGAGTTTCCGGACGACAGCCGCACCATTCCTGGTTAACAGTCTCTTTTCAAATCCTATTTCATCATCACCTTTTGTTTCCGGCCACTGCTGCTGCTGCTGCTACCTTACCTTACCCCGAACCTTTCCTTCTCCCCCCTTCCCTCTCTGTTCCCATTTTAATCTCATTTTATTTTCCACCCCCCCCCCCCCCCTTACTCAGCACTATGAGTACCATACAGAATCTCAAAAATTTCATACGTCATGGCAAGCAAGCCCGCCTGGTGACGCCGCATGCCGAGCCCACCACCAATGTTTCGCCCATCCATGCCGAACAACAACGTCAACCACAGGGCTCCTATCCCGCCGCTGCCGGCAACCTCGACGCCATTGACAGCAAATTAGGCAACGGAAACGCTCAGCCTTCTCAGCGGAACTCCGACTCATCACAGTCCAGGCGGGCTCGCGAACTCGAGATCGAGCAGATCATTGCCGAAGAGAAGAGTAGTCGGAACAAGATGCCTAAATACCCGGGTCTCGAGCGCTGGATCTTGATGGAGAAGATGGGGGATGGCGCCTTTAGCAACGTCTATCGCGCCAAGGACACCACCGGCGAGTTCAGTGAAGTCGCCATCAAGGTGGTGCGCAAGTTTGAAATGAACAGCAACCAGGTAGGACCGCAAGCTATCTCCTTTACTCTTGTGCTAGTCGCTTCCTGCTTTTCTCTCTCGATTGCTTTCTCTTGGTTTTGTCTTGTGTGCTCTGTCGTCTTTAAATCATTTGGCCAATGTCTTTCTACTAGACTGCCGCTCATCTGCATCCGGGAATCAGAAAGAAACCCAAAGCTACGGAGGTGCGCAAACACTAGATAACATCATCCATTCACCGGGCATCCCTGTCTATCGCTCACACCTGCTCTGCAACGTTCCGCTTCGCGTCGTTGGCTATAGCTGGCACCCATTGTGTGACTGAACCAGAGTGACTGACCTTGCTATAGCGTGCCAACATCCTGAAAGAAGTACAGATCATGCGCAATCTCGATCACCCCAACATCGTCAAGCTGATCAGTTTCTCCGAGTCGCGCCAATACTACTATATCATCCTCGAACTCTGCCCCGGTGGCGAGCTGTTCCATCAAATCGTGAGATTGACCTACTTCAGTGAGGAGCTCAGTCGCCATGTTATTGTGCAGGTCGCCAAGGCAATTGAGTATCTCCACGAGACATCCGGCGTTGTGCATCGGTACGAGATTGAGAAACCTGTGTTGTGTGATCGCAAGAGACTAACTGAAGTTTTAGCGATATTAAACCCGAAAATCTTCTCTTCTACCCCACAGATTTCATCCCGAGTAAGCACCCCAGACCTCGCCAGCCCGGTGACGAAGACAAGGTCGACGAGGGCGAGTTTATTCCTGGTAAAGGTGCTGGTGGTATCGGCTTGATTAAGATCGCCGACTTTGGGTTGTCTAAGGTTATCTGGGATAGCCAAACCATGACGCCATGTGGAACGGTCGGATACACCGCCCCTGAGATCGTTAAAGATGAGCGGTACTCCAAGAGTGTCGATATGTGGGCTCTGGGTTGCGTTCTCTACACTCTCCTCTGTGGTTTTCCGCCGTTCTACGACGAGAGCATCCAAATCCTGACTGAAAAGGTCGCTCGTGGTCAATACACCTTCCTATCGCCCTGGTGGGACGATATTTCCAAGTCCGCCCAGGATCTGATCTCTCATCTTCTGACGGTGGACCCGGAGAAGCGCTATACCATCAAGCAGTTCCTCGCCCATCCCTGGATCCGTGGCACCGATGAGGCTACCGAAGCTGCTGCGGACGCTCCTCCACTTGCCACGCCTCTTACTACCCGTAAGCAGGGACAGCCCTTGGATGCATTTGCGGCCGACCAAGCGCCATTCGCTCCGATCAGTGCCCGCTTGGGCGACCAACCATCGGCTGGTATGGAACGCCCTATGGACTTCCGTTCTCCCGGGGCGATCAACTTGCGCGAGGTGTTCGATGTTGGTTATGCCGTGCACAGACAAGAAGAGGAGGGCAAACGTCGCAAGAACTTCCGTCAAGGTTACCGTGGGGCCAATCCCTCGACGAACTTCAGGTCGGCGCTGAACCCTCTGAACGAAGACTACGATGAGCCGGATGAGGTCAACTATCAACCCGTCCAGCGCGAAGATTTTGCCCCTTCCAAGATCCCCAAGTCTTCACAGCAGGCCGGTGATGTTGCTGCCATGGAGGCGAAGCTGCGATCTACGAACTTGAGTGGTGCGCCCAGCCATGCCGCTCAAGCACGACAAGCCCATCAACACCGACAGCAACAAGGATACGGGCAACACAGTGCCAAGGTGGCCGCCGCTGCAAGACAGAGCATTGCCCGAGGCGCGCGGGAGCCCTTCGAGCTGAACCTTGATAATGCTACTCTCCTAGAGAAGCGCGGTCGACGCCAGCAGGACCAGCCTGTTGCTTAGTTTTCTTTCCAACGGTCCCAGGTCACGTCCTTAACGAATCGAGACAGCCTTCGGGCTACGAATTCCTATTTTTATGAGTTCAGTGCATACGGTGACAATGTTTCTCCTCTGGCTTGGTGAATGGGATTGATTTCCTCTGGGTGGTTTATAATCAATCGGTCGCATTTCTCAGGGTGTTTTTTTTTCCATTCTTCTCTTCTTTTCCATTTATGATAAAACTTCTTGTGCGTGTTCTACCTCTTTGCGTTGATATTTTTCTAGTTCTCCCTTCCATTTCCATTCCAACCTACGGTACCTTTCTTCTTCACTTCTCTCCTCCACACTTTACACATATCATTTCTTCCTTTTTGCCTTCTCCGTCGGAATTGCCAATCGGATTCACACTACGGATGGACATATGCGCCCTTCTCTTCTTCCACTGTCCAATCAGTCGGTTGCACTACTCCTCTCTTCGCATGGTCGAATCATATACATCTCCCGCCCCCTTCTTCACTTAAACTTTTCCCCACCTGGATCATGTCATGTCATATCTTGATGCAATCCGTCCATGAACATATATACCTGCGAAGAAACAATGATTTTTTTACTTTGTGGCTTACACCGTGTCTTTTCTTCTTTTATTTCCTGCCTTCCAACCTCCGCCCCCCCCCCTCTTTTTTTTTGCTGTCTTCGACCTCTTCTTCTTGTTCTTTGTCCAATTTTGTGCGTAGAAGGTGCGTTTTGGTACGTAGATTACTAGTACCGAGTTGGCCGTCAATTTTTCTTGACTTGGATTTCCCCGGTTTTGGTCTGTAAATGAAGTGACCTGATGATCGGCATGTGTATTGTATGATAGATGAATTTATTTGGATATTACTCCGTACGTCATTCAAAATCAGGGTCGAGTCGTGTAAGGGTTTGCGATGTGATAGGCCGATGGTGTTGCTGTGTAACGTAAGAATACCATTTTAGGTGAGGTTACTGTACTGTACTCTATAATGGTTCTATACACCAGTCCAACGTATGTATAAGCGGAGCCTTCGCTCCATCCATCGGACATAATAATCACAGACGAAAGATAAAAAAATCATCTGAACAATGCATGCGAACCCGTACCTTACCTTTGCGCACGGATCACAAACCCTCGCCCAAAAAAAGAAAAACAAAAACGAATGGTACAAAAATGGTATCAATCATGAGTCAGATCAATGCTGCATCGTAAAAAAACACATGGATATAAAAATGAGAACATGAAGATCCCAACGAAGAGGGCACGGGTGACGTGACGCCGTTTTCCTTTCCGGGGTGAGTTTTCTACATGATTTGCCGGCCCATAGTTTCAATGGGCAGCAGGCACATGGCAAGGAACGCAGCCAGGATCAATGCACCCGATGCGTAGATGGGAGCATCAGGGCTGGCGGAACCGCCGTAAATGGCCACCAGGGGGGCACAGAGACCGGCGATCCGGTTGAGACAGGACGAGATACCCGTGGCAGTGCCGCGGTTGGGGGCCGGGAAGACCTCCGGGGTGTACGCGTACAGAACACCGTACATGATGTTCTGGAAGAAGGCCTCCAGACAGGAGCAGACGAGCTGAACATTCGAGTCGGTGGAGGCAGTGAAACAGAAGAGCAGGACACCGGTGATCAGAGTCGCGATGCACATCGTGCCCTTGCGGCCAACGTACTTGATCTCCACGGTGTAGCAAGCTAGAATGGAACCAGGGACACCGACAACGGACGTGATGGCGTAGTTCCGATAGGCGATGTAGGTGGAGCTGGAGCCATCACTCCCGCTGTTGGCCAGGTACTGGGGAAGGAAGGCATTGAAGAGGGGATAGCCCATTCCAATGGTAGTCCAGCAGAACCAGAGCAGAATAGCTAGAGGCAATATGTTAGCAAGAAAACGAGCTATATGCGAATGGCTGGCACGTACTGCTCATTGCAAGCTTCTTTGTGGCAAAGAGCGGGGCAATGTGGTCGAAAGAGAACTTGGAGAGATATCTCTTCACGATCTCAGTCGAGCTGAGCTTCTCCTTCTGAGCCTCCTGTTGATAACCGCCAATCTCGTTCAAGATCTCCTCAGTGAGCCACGTCTTGGTCTTGTTCTTGTGAGCGATACCGTAGACAGAAGCAACGGCGTCAGCCTGGCGACCACGGCCCAGCAGGAATTTGGGCGATTCGTAAAGGTGGAAGAGAAAGAAACGGCAGATGAACATGAGGAAGGTCAAGCCACCAATGGTGAAGACGAAGTATCTCCAGCCCATGTTGTCCTGCTTGCTGCAGCAAGCGACCCCACTTGCGACGTCACCGCACGAAGGGAGACCGCTGTCGCAGCTGAAGTTGGGAATTAAAGCCCAGGCGAGCAGACTGGAGATCAGTTGACCGACAGGCCACCAGACACTCAGCATGGTCAACATGTTTCCGGAAGCAAAGGGCAAAAATTCCAAGAATAAAGCTCCATCGACGGGTAGATTACCACCAACACCAAGGCCCAAGCAAGAATACAGGGCACAGGTTCTGGATGATCAGCATTAGTCATGGTTTATCTTCGGACATGAAAGCCATAACATACCCAATCCAGTTCGGACCGCCACCAGCGGCAACACCAAAGACACTGCACAGAAAAAGAGTCGTGTTGAAGGCGAGACGGCGTCCAACTATATCAGAAGCGATACCCCAGAATGAAGCGCCAATGCACAGACCCAGGAATAGAGCACAGGTCGTGAACCGCACCCGGGTACTGGAAACTCCGAATTCCTCAGCAATCGGTGTTAGGGTTAGAGCAATGCCCTTTGAGACGTTAGTATGATAGACATTGGACGCTACCATCTTTGGTCTCTTACCTGTAACCAGAGACTAGCGGCTCGGCGTTAGCAACACGATCACTGGCAGAGGGAAGCGTTCTTCTACTTACTTGTCTGCAAGCCAGCCGAAGCCGCACATAGCGAAAAGCTCCCACTGATACCGGCCCATGCCAATGTCCTGGATGGCTCTGTTGATGACCTTTGCTTTGCCTGCATGTACGATTTAGCTTTGCTCTTGGATCATCGACACGGATAAGAAGGATGATTGTTATGGAGCCACTTCTTAGCGCGACGGATGATGATATATAACATACGGTCATAGACGGAGTCCTGTCCGGTGGCAACCAGATCGGCCTCAATCTCAGCGCGGAGGGCTTCGATGGTCATATGATCGTAGTTGTGGACGGATCCAAACCCGGCTTCCTCGGAGGGAGCTCTGTCAAGGCTTTTTTCATCAGTCTTGTCGTCAGTACCGCCCACTTGTTTTGTTGTCTGGGTGTCGGGTCTCGAGCGCATTGGGGCCTGATCGAGAGGGATCACAACCCCAGCGAAGTCGCTGTGGTCGTGGTTTTTGAACGGGTTGATTCCGAAGGGCATTGTCGCTCGGGAAACTGACGGTGCTCGGAATATGGGTCAAGTTCGAGGGTCAATGGCCGGTGATGGGAACGAGGAGGCGCTGTCGAGGGCTCGTTCTACCGTGAAGAATGGGCTGGAGTCACCGCGGGCAATGGAGAGATTCGTTCTACTTCTCAAGTCGCACAGGATCTAACGAAGCGGGTTGTCGCAAGGGTCAAGTGGGAGGCGCAATGGTTTTGTTTGTGGCGCGAGGGACTGGAGCACACGGTAGATGGCGCGAGGGGATGATGGGGGTCCGTCGGACCTTATGTCGCTGCTAGTGACGAAGAGTACAGCAGAACTGTTCAAGCGATGTTTGGTAATGGCCAGGAAGAAGTAAATGGTATGTTGATAGCCCAGAGGGCGAGGAAATGGAACAAACTGGCAGCCCAATTGACCTGATATGACAGGACGAG